CTTCTTCACTTGAAAGAAAATAATGGACGGATTGCATAGAGCTCTGAGATGTAGGCAAGTCATCAGCGACATTCGCGATGTTGGTGCTTGGTACCCTGCAAGTAAGGAAGCCGTAGGAAAAGTCGTCAAAGAGGAACCTCCGATGCTCCAGGAGGCAAAAGAGCAAAAATGCAGTGCGGCCAATCAAACAACACGCATGTCAGAGTTCGAGTCTGAATTTGGCGACACTACTTTGAGATCTCATTCCGACTTCCACCACAGTCACTACTAAGGTACGACTCTATTCTTGCTGGTTGTCTTGTTATCCTATCACAGCGATGCACCTCAAGAAGTCGAGTACCTAGTATATGACCGCAGTATTGACCAGGGGCAGTGGTGATCGCCCACTTACAGATTCAACTCCATATATAGAAAAGACACGTGTGATGATATTCAGGTCAACTCCAGCCACAAAGCTGCTTTTGAGGTTGTGATGGCTCCCAGGATTGCGGCCGGGATAGAAACATAATGGACGGGAGCCAGGCTGGGATACAACAGAGCCGCACCGATGCGATGCAGGAACCCGCGACACACCGAAAAATAGGATATCGGGTGGGAGCCTTTGTACTTGCACTTTGATGGCCTTTTGGAATAGTAGACGGGACGCATCCCCGTTAACGAGCTCAGGTCGGAGCCGACGACGGATGGTTCGTTGGTGATGGAGAGCTTTGTCTGAAGCACCGCGCGGTTGATTTTTAATGCTGACACAGACATCCTGGGCTTTGGCGGAAACGGAACACTTGATTGGCTCAAATGTCAGGTCTCGTTCTGAGCCGTCACATTTCAACAATGGGCCAGAGATTGAGGAAAATAGATTAATGGAGATATGAAATGAACAGATTTTATTAAGTATGCGGAAGAAGACAAGAGTAGATCTCGAGACGTTTTCTTTGGCCCAGGGATAGTATTCCAGAGTAAGGTGATGCTGGATTTAAATCAACCCGACCTTCAGTGCCAGAGTCATCCAGTGCACTTGACAGTGAGGTGCGATTCTTGAATTTGCCGATACCAGGATGTGATGATGTAATCAGGAGAGCCCCACAGACTGCGTGCAAAAAGCTCAGCGCGGAAAAGAGCCGACCCCGCTAAAGAAACCCTGAAATCCAAGTTGGAGACCGCTAAAGTGGACTCAATCCGCTCGAACCTGACCTAAGCAAGGAGGATTACACCAAACACCCCGAAGTCTCCGCGCGCGCGAGATCACCCACCTCTCTGGAGTAGGTACCTCGAGGCCCATAGCCGTCGGATCGCTGGAACCTCGGCGAAGTGCGGTCGAGGGCCGACCTTGCGTGCCCGCCCACTAACTTTAGGAACTTCCGCCTGTGGAGGTACCTAGCCGGCGCAGATTGCCATGGCAGATGCACCCGTGCTGTCATCATCTTCCTGCATGACTAATGCCAGACACAACCACCACCTGCCCACCACCACCACAACCACCGCATTCCACCACCCCTCGCCGTTCGGAGCGGAACCGGTCACCGATTTAATGTTCTTGCCGCTCACGCCGCTGTTCCGCCGTTGAATCTCTCTCTCCCGCTCTTGACATCTGGCTTCTTTTCAACCACGTTCTGATTTACTTCCTCCGCCAGTATACCCTGTGGACGATTGTAACCCCTTTGGAATTGACCGTCTCACGTTCCAACGTTACCTGTTCTGCACAGCGCACCAATTCCCTACCCCCACTTCCGCGACTTTCCATCACCAAAAACCCCCCGCCATGCCCGACTTCGAAGGCAAGCCAGACGGCGCGGGAGCGCCCAATGACTGGCGCGAAGATACTCACCAGCTCCCTTCTTTCTATTCTCCGAAACAGAAGACAGTCGACGGCCCATCCGACCATGCCTCGGGCACCGCGCACCCAGAGCCCGAGCAACTAAGCCTCTCCAACCCCGCCGCCGCAGCAGCCCCCGCAACAGCCGACGACGACGCCGCATCGACAACCTCGGCCACCCAGATCCCGCCACCCTCCCTCCTCTCGCCAGCCTTCACACCGCCCGCGACACCGGGGACATCAACCCCCCTCACAGCCGAGGCGGCTCCGCGCGGCGTCCCCGTCGACAGCTCCGTTCCCTCGGGCGGCTGCGGCACGAAGCGCCCCCGCCTCCTCGAGACCCTCCCCGAGGTGCAGTGCATCGTGCGCGCGCGCATCCCCACCGTCAACGGCACCGAAATGTTCCTGCACTTGTATACCAACAACGTCGACAACAAGGAGCACCTGGCCATCGTCTTTGGGCCCCACATCCGCAGCCAGTCGCTCGATGCGCCGCGGCCGGGCGAGACCGAGATGGATCGCATGATTCGCGGTGCGTACACGGGTCGTTTGTTCCCCGGAAGGTCGACGAGCGGTATGCCGGGCGGCGTGGCGACGCCTGTTGGCGAGGAACCGCCTGCACAGCGCGGGCCTGCGCTGGTGAGGATTCACTCCGAGTGTTACACGGGTGAGACGGCGTGGTCTGCGCGGTGCGACTGCGGCGAGCAGCTCGATGAGGCGGCAAGGCTGATGAGTCTACCCGGGAACACGAATGGTGGTATCATTATCTACCTGCGCCAGGAAGGGCGCGGTATTGGTCTCGGGGAGAAGCTGAAGGCATATAACCTCCAGGACCTCGGCTCGGATACCGTCGAGGCGAACTTACTGCTGCGTCACCCTGCGGATGCCCGGAGTTACGGGCTGGCGACGGCGATGCTGCAGGATCTTGGGCAGAGCGAGGTGCGCCTGCTGACGAATAATCCTGATAAGATTAGGGCGGTGGAGGGCCCCAATCGCGAGGTGAGGGTTACGGAGCGCGTTGCGATGGTGCCGCTTTCGTGGAAGGGACGAGGCGGGTTCCGGAGCAATGAGGTTGAGGGGTACTTGAAGACAAAGGTAAGTCTCTGTTGTGTTTGGTTGTGTTTGGTTGTGTTTGGTTGTGTTTGGTTGTGTTTGGTTGTGTTTGGTTGTGTTTGGTTGTGTTTGGTTGTGTTTGGTTGTGTTTGGATTGCTGGAACTAACAGAACTACAGATTGAAAAGATGGGACATATGCTTGACATGGGTGGCATGCCTCATTGAGGAGAGATCAAAGTGCAGTGGGGTCGCATATTTTCCTGATGATTAGTGATTGGTGTCGAACGAAAAGGAGGTGACGAACGTGGTTGAGAATCATCAAGCATATGGTAGAAAACGGCGTACGGGTTGTTTTGATACGAATACCTGGGACATTGGCGTACTTGGCATACTTGTCCGCTGGGAGCCCCAACGACTGGAAATGTTCATAGCATCGTTGGATAACTGGACTCATGGCAATTTACGGAAAAAGATCATTGAGGCGGCGGCTAGTTTTATCTGGCATTGAGGTGTGCATCTGCCAGATACACTTACCTACCTAGTACTTAAGCTTGAGTGGTATCTGTCTACCCAAGGTACATACTTTGGTGCAAGTTACCTAGTGGTTGAACAGAAATGTCGAAATGACGGCTTGCTGCAATCTTGATCCCAGGAAGGCTTGGGAGTGCAGTGGTCAAAATTATCGCAGTATATTTGAGCGCAATTCCGGGATTGTCACTGAGATGCAGATGAAGATAAAGCGCGGGCCGGCTCCCCTCCAAAAGTCGCTCCGGGACCCCTATATAATGATGTACTGGTACGGCGGTGGGCGCACTGACCCGCCGACAGGAAGCTCCAACCAACGTCACACCCAACTCGCCATACGCAAACTCTCACTTATTCGCATCCCAGCTTCAACCCAGATGCTCCCCAGAGCTTCCACCACCAGCCCACCATGTCGCGCAGAGTAGCGAAAGGAGACTACATTGAGACCGTACGCCCTCCATCCCCTCAAAATCACCCCCTTCAACACAATTCACGCACCGAGTTTACCGACTAACTCCCGAGTAAAACAACAGGACACAGGCAACAAGGTCGCCCGCAAAGCGACCCTCGTCGGCACCCAGAATATCATGCTAGGCGGCAAGACGGTAATCCAACCAGAGGTCATGATCCGCGGTGACCTCGCCCGCTCAGCACAGCCCTCTGCCGGCGGCGCCCCGGCCAACAGCACGGCCGTCGCGATCGGGAGATACTGCTTCCTCTCCAGGGGCGCGCTCCTCCGGCCTCCAGGACGGATGTACAAAGGGTATGTTCTCCCCAAACCCACCACCGCAATAGCCACAAACACCATCGGACCCTATGCTGACTTTCCTACGTTCATAGAGCCTTCACATACATGCCCCTCCGCATGGGCGACCACGTCTTCGTCGGCGCAAACGTCGTCATCCAGGCCGCCTCGATCGGGAACCACATCCACATTGGCCGCGACAGCGTCATTGGCGAGTTCGCCATCGTCAAGGACTACGTACGCATACTCGAAGGCACCGTCGTGCCGCCCAACATGGTGATCCCGAGCTTCAGCGTCGTCGCGGGCCAGCCGGCGCGCGTGGTGGGCGAGGTACCCGAGGGCGGGCACGAGGAGTTTGAGTTGAGGGAGCTGTATAAGACGGTGGGGAATAATCCGCAGCCTTTGACTGCGTGAGGTTGGGTTGGTGTTTTAGTGCCTCTGGGGGTGGGAGGGGGAAGAGATGCGTGTGATGTTAGAAGTTGGTTGACAGCTTGGCATTTGCTTGCGCGATAGAGACGGAGTTTGGCGTAGGTCGAGCTTTGAGCTCAAATGATACCCTTTCTTTTTCGCAGTGAGGACTTTGTTCCTGTCTCGTTCTGACTTCCACGTGTGGCAAAATTCCTTGACTTCGCGCGTTAGGGAACTTTTCAATGGTTGGTCGATGCTCCGTCGGAGCTCTTCATCACAGAGGCTTCTGGCAAGGCATGTTCGGTTCAAAGTTGCTGCAGCTATGAGCTATCACATACATATAAGCAGCCTCAAAGAAAACATCTGACAGAGGAAGATACACTTCAGCACAGCGGGGCCCCTTAAGCCCCATGCAACAACCCGTCCCGAACGCCGCTGCTCACCCAACTTTCAAGACTTCAAGGCTCACCCGGCCATATCGAATCAGCCAACTCCCTTACAAGCTTCAACTTGTTCACCATATCCTGATGCGAAACCGAATTTCCCAAATGATGACTCGCAAACCCACACTGCGGACTAACCCCAATCCTCTTCAACGCCTCCTCGCGCGTCTGCCCCGCCCCCTGCGCAACATAATCCGCCGCTTGGAATACCCTCTCCCTCAGCTTCCCAACATCCTCGAGCTCAGGGAACTTTGACGTGATGACGCCCAGCACGACGTTCTTGTGCGCCGGTAGCTCCTTCAGCGGTCCGAACCCGCCCGCGCGGTCGGTGTCGTACTCGAGGAAGTAGGTGTCGGCGTTGATCTCGTTGAAGAGGCGCGAGGCGATGCGGTCGTAGCCGCCTTCGGAGAAGTGGCGCGAGTAGGCAAAGTTGCCGCGGCAGAGGTGGATGCCGAGGTGCATGTCTGCGGGGCGGGAGGTGATGCAGTCGTTGTAGAGTTTGATGTAGGATTGGAGGAGGGCGTCTGAGTCTTCGCCTGCTTCTTTGAAGCCTTGGAGCATCTTTTCTGAACAGAAGTCTGGGAAAACACGGTTTCTGTCAGCGAAGGATGTGGAATAGGCAACGGGGCGTCACTTACACGCCAGGTTGGGATCGTCAATCGTCACATTGCGGACACCGTGCTCATAAAGAACCTCAAGCTCGGTGCGGTACGCTTTGGCGATATCGGCAAAGTACTCTTCGTCGTTGGCGTAGACGTCCTTGGGGTAGGCGTGGCCCTTTTGGTAGCGGAGATGATACCACTCGGGCGCGGGCAAGGTCAACTTGGCCTCCTTGACGCTTTCAGGAGGGATGTTGCTCTTGAGGAACTCCCACTCTCTCAGGTAGGTGCTTCCCTTGTGCTTGATCTTGCCGGTGCAGACAATGGACTCGCCGGGCTTGTGATCGCTCTCAACTGGGTGTCACATAGCGTCAGTCTCCCTAATCTCGAGGGTATCGAGTATCCCGTGGGCCAAAACTTACTAAACGCCGCAATGTCTGGCACGTACATGCGAAATATATCCCAGCTCGGCGTGTCGACCTCCTCGAACCCCTCCAGTCCGGGGAAGAAGTTGCCCCAGAACTGGTGGCGGCGGTACTCGCCGTCGTTGATGGCGTGGAAGCCGAGGTCCAGCTGCGTCCGGACGATCTCGCGCACGCCCTCCTCCTCGAGGCGGTTGAGTTCCTGGTCGTCTGCAATCTCTACGGCTTTTTTCCCGTCCAAGGCGACGCGCTTGTCAGTGAGGGCCTTGGGCCGCAGGAGCGAGCCCATGTGTTCGGCGCGGAAGGGCGGTTTCTGGTGGTTCTTGGATGTCATGGTTTCTATTTTGCGTAGACAAACAGAAAGTTATTGGTATTGCAGTGGAGTAGAGCACGAGAAGAACCCTCTGGCCACGGCGTATATATAGACTTTGGTACTCGCGACGAAGCGTGGGGTTGCGAAAGGGGATAGGCCTTCGGCATTGCGAGATCCAATGGCCTAGCTAGGTAACTTTCCTAGGTTGGCCAGCCACTCAAACCAGGTCTCGCGAGGGCGTCCATTCTGGTGTAAGGCTACCCGAAGCAAACAGACTTGCGCTTTCTTGGACCTGGACCCCCGTCAGGACGATGTCATCCGGTGCCACCATCACCACTTCCCCCAAGCTGCCCATCCACCAAGATTCCCCGCTTTCCCCGCCCTTTGTCATAGCTTAGTCGAGGGGGTCTGATCATAAGTTGCTGGACGGCAGATGAGTAGAGCGGCATCGGAATCGGCTATCAGTCGTTGGCCGCTTAAGTAAATGCGAGCGTTTTGGAATTGGTGCCTGGTTTCTGCTAGGTTGAAGCCATTCTCGAGGTTGATTTGCTTCTTCTCAGCGCAGCCAAGGCAAGGTACCTATGCGCCGTAAGAGCGCAGCGGTGGAGACGCTGAATGATTGTCGTTCGAGGAAAAGAAACTTTTATATGGCTTGCATTCATTTCAAGATCATAAGTCTTCCGACATAAAATAAAGTAATGTCTAGTATGTAAGTGCTGACTGGACTCTTGTGTAGCTCAAGTGCATCGCCGATTCGTCGGCTGCCGTGCTTCTAGCTATTCGCGGTGTTATCGAGATTGGTACTGGCAGTTTCCCAATCACTGACCCCAAGACATGATCCACTTATGGTCAGTTCACGAATTGATAAAACCCATGTCTGTCACATGCACTTAACGCCCTTCGAGAATCTCAGACAACAAAACTAGAGGTACCAAGAGATGTCATGGGAGGGAGGTGTGAAGATCCGGAGCTTCGAACTCGGAGCTTTTATCGTTATCTTATCGCAGGAGCTCTGGTGGAGCACTGTGGCGAAGGCCGCCCGTTCCCGTGGCGGGGCAAACGGACCAGGACCCCGCGGTGACATGTCGCCCCCCTCCAGGACAGGTAACCTCGGAGCTGCATCTCATTGTATGGCAAGATTTCCATAATAGCATCCATCATTAATCCTCTTCTGCTCCAGTCTCTTCAGCCATGGTGTTGGATTGAATCCGGGACTGAGATCCTTCCATCAGCAAACTATCAGCCTATCTCATCCGGGGCGGCTTCATCGCTTCGTCTGAACTTGAAACTTGCCTCGGCCGGGACTATTCCGTGAAACATCGCCCTCTAGGCCATATTCTGTATTTCGTTCGACGACATAGTCACTTCGCATCAATTCATCGAGACGACTTCCGCATCTGCGATAAAATTCTGACAGCCTCTGCTGTAATACAAGCAACGATGGCCACCTCCGTCAATGATCTCCCAAACGAGATCCTAAGCCAAATATTCTCCCACCTGGACCGACCTGCGCCATCAGACTCGAAACTCCATGATCAACCAAGCTCTTTCATGCTGCAGAACCTCTTTTTTGACCGCGATCTCAAGACTACTTCTCTCGTTTGCAAGCGATGGCGAGGTGCCGTGCTCCCTCTGCTGTTCCGCCATGTGGTCTGGACATTCGACCGATTCGAGTTACCGCTCATGGAAGAGACGGGAAACCCTGCGTCCGCGATCGAGTTTTTGTCATTCCTCCGGGCGAACAATTTGACCAACTATGTCGAAACACTTTCAATGTTTGTCGAAGATGCCATGGGCGGCGTATCGGACGGCACCAGCAGTGCCACTCTTATGGAGACAGGCTTTGCGAACAAGGCCTCGTACAGCGAAGACTACAACTGGCTCTGGACGACAATCTTTGAACATATTGATCCCACCCGGCTTACAATGATTGCGTCGCCACGGGTGTTGGCCCAGATGCTATCGCGTATGCTCTTCCTTGGGGATGCGTGGAACTTTTCCATGCCTCGGCATGTTCTTTCGCTATCACGCAAAGAAAAAAGGTCAAAAGAGACGCAACTCGAGGCACCGGTGACAGCATCATCAACAAGTCAGGCATCTAGTTCTGAACTCACACATCAGAAGCGTGTTCCATGTGGCCTCTTCACCATCCGCCCATGGCAAGCTCTCTTACTGAACGAAGGATCCTCGACGCGAGTCTACAAGACATACGAATTCTACCTCAAACGCCCACCTTCCATCCTCGGCGCTCTTCTGGGCGCAGAAGAGTTCCCCAATGACGAATCCATGATCCCCTCCTCGATCCGCGACCTCTCCTACGTCGGCATCTTCCCCCTATCGAGCCACTTCAACACCCTTGTCCAAAACGTCCCGCGTCTCGACCGCCTCTTCGTCCAGCTCGTCCCCCGAAACGACATCCTCTCCGACCACGAAGAAATGCGCAACGTCGACCTCGCCGATCTCTGGATGGAGCGCAACACGGCCTACTCGATGCTGTTCCGCGAGCTCTTCAACCCGAGCCCGGACAGCCCCTGGCTCGAGCTGAGCGTCTTTGAGAGCGGCGACGCGGCGGACAAGGAGGCGTGGGATATGGCGGTGCAGTTTGTGCAGTTTAGCGGCGTGCAGGGGTGGCGGGTCGCAGGCGAGGGCGTCTTTGCGAGGGAAGGGGACGAGGACGACGTCGGTGCGATCCTCGGCATGTCTCAGTCAGTGGCGCCAGCGGGATCGTCAAGATCACAAACATTGTCTGGGTGATGTTTACTAATGCGGCAGGTGCGAGAAAAGACTCCCGGGTAGACTCAGACGGATGGCGTTCAACGGAGTTGCTTCGTTGCCAGTGTCTAGCGTTACGCTTTACATGAGAGACGCAAACGCGCCGTAGAGGGGCGTTTGTGGGGCATATGTAGGAAGATCAGGACATTCCTTGGGCCAGCTGAATCAAGCAGTTCATGACGATTCTGCCACGATCTAAGGCTATGGCAGGCTAGACACACAAGGTATGATGGTGGGAACTTCACATGCTAGGATGTGGGAAGATACCGTAGGGACATGAACCATGGAGAAATCACCAATTGCAAATTCAAAATTACCACCGACATTTCAAAAGTCCCAGGCTTACATTGGCCCATCGAAAGATCATGCTCCCAGCGTTGTCCTCTTTTGTGTCTTCTAGAGAGGATGTACAATGCAAGACCCTCAATCACCTTCTCAGTAAATATCACGCCGACCCCTGGCTATGTAGTTTAGATCCGATCTAAGGCCTCGTATCACCACCCAACAACGCCGAAGCAAATGTTTGATGTCTCGGTCTATCGCAACAAAATCAATAGCCAATGAGACTCATCCTCGAGTATCAAGCAAAGCGGTGCGGTCGGTGGAGAACATTAGACCATCTCCATCATCAAACGTTTCTCCACAAGCTACCATACGGCATACACGTGGGGAGTTTCAGACGTAAAGTCAAAATCCGAGCAGCGAGCTTCCATCTTTGAACTGAGGTTGAGTTCCGAGGTGGGGCCAAGGTGAGGCTTAAACCAACGACTGACAGCTCGCACCTTGGTAAGCAGGTAAGGAAAGGTAAGTTCTCGGTGAGCTCGGTGTACTCCACATCATGTGATTTTGCCACTCAGACGGCCCAAGCTCGTCTGACGAAAAGCGGGCGCAAAGGCGTCTCTCAGCCAATCATTAGCCGCAATACCTGCAGACAAAGCCAATTGGCGCCTCCTCTCAGTGGCTGGAAGGACCTGGTGTGGACGGTGCGGCATGGTCGGGGAAGGAGGCACTGGACCCAGACCAAAAAGAAAGTCGCACCGGACGGGAAGCTTCTTCCCCAAAATCATCGACCTATCGAACGATATACGCACGAGCACTACATCATTACCTTACATCCGCCCTCTCCTCTCCCCTCCCCTCCTCATCTCCTCCTCTTCGTCCTCCTCGTCACCATCTAACCCCCTCTTTAGCTGCGGCCACCTCCCTTTCTTCATTTCTCGCATTCCTTCGCCTTTCATACCATTTACGACTGCGGCGAAGACTGGGCGCAGATCAAATCCCGACCCTGACAAGAACCGACGACTTGGTGGCCGAGCTTCCGGACGAAGCTTCAAATTCTTCTGTTCCTTATCCCTCGAATCAACAATCAATCAATACGTGCATTGGATTGCCATCTCGAGGCTCTCAATGTCAACGCCTCTTGCATCCCGACGAACGTGAGCGCCTCCCACAACAAATACTCGACCCACGACGATTGAATTTCTTCAAGAACACATCGACCCGAATACGCTTCTCGTCAACATGGTCCTCTCTCACACTACGAACCATACCTACTCCCACCCCTTCCCGACCGTGACACTCGCCTACTTCCTCCGCTACTCTTCGCCCAAACTCAACCCGTTCTCCACCCATGTCCTCAGCACCGACACCATCGATAGTCGCCTCGACCCGGTGACGGGCCGGCTGCACACCACCCGCATCCACCTCAAGAAGTCTCGCATGCCTGCGCCCGTCTTCAAGCTTCTCCCTACATCCATCACCGGCGGCGGCTCCAGCGAGAAAGTGAGCTATGTTCTTGAGAACTCAGTCATTGACATGCGCGAGGGTTGGATGCGTACCGAGAGCAAGAACCTCAGCTTCATGAATGTGCTCTCCGTTGTGGAGAAGCAGGACTTCCGCCTTCCCACCGATGCGGCTGACGCGAACACCGACGTCACAACCACATATGTCTACAAGTCGCGTCTCGGCGAAAGGCTTCGCGGCGGCAAGAAGGACCAGATGCAATCTGCCGTCGAGCAGCCGGAGCAAAAGGAGGGTCGCTGGATGCCGGGCTGGATGAGCGGACTCGGCGCGCGCGGCGTTCAACGCAGTATTGAGAGCATCGCTTCGAGCAAGACACAGGATCAGATGGGCAAGAGCCGTGAGGGCATGCGCGTCGTCCTGGAGAGACTTAGGAAGAATGGCGTCGTGGGCGTGCTGGAGATGATGAGACGGGAACGCCAGTTGGCCTGATGGCCGTGCCCGGCTCG